ACATCTCAACAGCGAGCATGCGCTGGACGATAGAAGTACAGCTCAATGTAGAGTACAAATGCAGGTTGTACAGCAGTTAGAGCTACAGGTAAAACCACATTTATTTTTAATATTACCTCAATATTCCTAAACCTCACATTTCTGTAGTGTTCTGTACCTGTGTACTCATTATTGAACGGAAGGTACAAAGCCTGTCATTGTTGTCCTTTACTTTATGTAATGTGATTAAGTAAGTAATTGATTTATCGGAACTCTGGGAAAGCTCAGCTCCAGTTCACTCTTTGGAACTGCTGCTTAGGTGTTTCAGAGTTCTGTGCACGTGTGTGTATGCAGCCAACTCTCAGTTATTACTTACCTCTTCCATCTCTCTCTCTTTCCCTTTTCCTCTTTTTCATTGAACTTCCTGATTATCCGGCGTTAAGTCCACTAAGTCCCTGCTGTTAACCTGGAGCTAGGAGGGTGAGCTCTGGAGAGAGAGATTGAAAGCAAATGACTGTGAACAGGGAAAGTGGCTATAAACAAGACCGGGCGAGCAAGCACACACAAGCATGTTTTGCAAAGTTAAAGTAGAAGTTATTCATGATTTATTCCTCATTTTGCATCATCCCCTTCTCTCTCCAGGAATGAGAATTATTGAGAGTTGACTGTACACATTTTATTCATTTCTACGCACACATACGTACACATACACATATATTACATATACAGTGCGTATTTATATTTCATATACATGTATAATCTTGTATTTGGAAATCCACTGGACACTGTTGAATGCACTTTCTCACTAGGGAAAATAACACTTCTGTACGTTGTCCTGTGGATCCCCGTTGTAAGGGACGGGGGACGTTTTTAATGTGAGTTCTGCTCCTTGATGTAACTTGTTGATGAGCCGCCATATTTCAACAATAATCCCATTCTTGGTCTAATTAATAGAGAATGAGTTTCTAAAAGTAAAAACTGGGTCAGAAATGGAGATTATTAAAATGTACAATTGCACAAGCCTGACCCTGCAAACCCCATTTATGCAGCCGAATTCCAAAATGCTTTTGAGTGCTTGATGACTCATGTGGCTTCTTCCTCTGGCTGGTTTAGTGTAGGCAAGAGGTTAGCCGACTGGGGGAAATTAAAACAATGTTGTACATTATATTGTTACCAGCCATTGAAAAGCCTATTTCGTATGCAAGACAGCAGTGTTGAGATATATGGAGAGCCCTAGGCTAAGTACAGAAGATAATTACGTTTAGAATTTTACTGAGTTAAGTCATTTACAGCTTCAAATAGTTGCAGAGAAAAATCAGCCAAAACACACTTAAACTTTTTGTTGTGACTTAATAAAACAGTAAGATTTTCATACAGGCAAAGGGCACATCATAAAAATCTTGAAAATTTAATGTAAGTCTTTGGAAACATCTTTAAATGGAGCATTTTGTTGAGGAAAAAAAAAATAAAAAGTAGATTTACCCCAAATTTCACTTATGATTAAAGAGGAGGAAGCCCTTGAAAAATTAGATTCAACAGAACAGGCTCTTATATATCTACTACTACCTGAATTTATATGTATTGGTGTAAGTATGTAAAGTGATGCAAGTTCCTGCTTTTATTTATCTACTTGATAAAATTAAATTCTTAATGACTGACTGATAAGGAGATTGTTTACCAGAATCATCATGGTTTTCCAAGTAGACATTCCAGAATGCAAATTTGAGTTTGAGGCCCTTCTTAATTACTCAGGAGCTGAGTAGCTGTTTTATTAATTATTCCTCACTCTTGGCAAAGAGAGGGCAGGGGAAGGAAAAGAGTTAGACCATCAGGAAGACGAGTGGGTTTTTTGTTTTGTTTTGATTCTCCTAGCAGCTTCAAAGGAGCCCTGATGGTGCAGTGGTTAAGCACTTGGCTGCTAAATGGAAAGGTCAGTGGTTCAGACTCACCAACTGTGGTGCAGGAGAAAGACCTGGCTATCTGCTCCTATACAGATTACAGCCTAGAAAACCCTACAAGACAGTTCTACATGGGGTCACTGTGAGTTGAAAATCGTCTTGACGCACCCAACAACAGTGACAGCAGCAGCTTTAATGCTTGTTTTGAACTGGGTGTGGCCTGAAGTAGTACAAACCAGTATGAGGATTCATCGATATGTGGATTTCATGTAGTCACAGATGTCCTTTCATTCTTCAGCCCTAAATCAGGTTGAAGGCAAGGTTGTTAAACTTTTGATGGAAATCATAGCTCATCTGGCCAGAGTCACTATGAGAAGGCTACCTGTCATGTTCCCAATACTGTTTTTGCTTGGAAGTTTGGTTTTAAAGGGATTGACGCTAATGGAAAGAGGGACACGCTAATTTTGAAGAGTTCCATTTTAAAGTAGGATCGATAAACTACAGCCCGTGGGCAAAGTCCTGTGAGCTGAGAATGGTTTTTACAGTTGAAATGGTTGAGGAATAAAATCAAAAGAAAAATAATATTTCATGAAACATGAAAATTTTATGACATTCAGATATCAGTGTCCATATATAAAGTTTTTTTGAACACATGATCATTTACATATCATCTGTGGCTGCTTTTGTTGCTGAAGTGGCAAAGTTGAGTAATTGCAACTGAGACCGTATGGCTTACAAAACAAACTGTTCACAGTCTGGCCCTTTACAGAAGACGTTTCCCAATCAACGGATCAGAATAAAACAATGCGCATCATCTTATTAGCTAGCAGCTTTTTCCCTTAGGTTCCTGGCTATTTGAAGGTCTTCTTATTCCTTTTTACCTCTTCCTTCTCGTCTGTGGTGTATAAAACCGGTCTAGTCACCACATCTGTTGGGCTTCTCCAGCAGCAGCTTCATGTGACAAGTGTTTACTGATCTTCGGAGGTCACAAAAAGCCGCCTAAGGGCTAATCATTCATTCATTCAGTAAAAATTATCAGGAGCCTGTTCCATAGCATTAACCTTGCCAGAGCCACTAAGGAGTACAACAGTGAGTAAGACAGATAGGGCTGCCCTCCTGGTTCTTATATTCTAGAAAGGAAAACAGACAAAAAATAAATAATTTCCAAAAGTACTGTCCATTTATTGGGCAGTGCTGGCTGACGCTAATGAGTTGTTGAAAACACTAGAAATGAGCTCAAAGGAGGGCGTTTCAGTGGTAGATATGGGCCAAAACAAAGCATATTTTATCCATTAGTTAGTATTCAATCAGAGGAAATACACAAGAAACGGTCAGAAGTCTTTGGCATTTAACACTTGCCCTGAGATAGAGTAAGAGGAACCCTCAGCAGGGATTACATTGAGAGTCTTTGGGTTGCAGACCTGGCACATTTGGAGTTTTTTTGCCAAGGTAGAGTTAAATTCACAGCTAGACTCCTTTTAGGCTTCCTTTTCCTCTGAAATTCAGCATTTCCATGTTTGTGCTGTCACTTTTGCCATTTCACACACCCATGTCTGGAAATGGGCTTTTTAGATGTACTTAGTTAACATTTCATTGTGCCCATAGATCCTGATCCTGGGGAAATTTGGTTCACGCAGCAGCAAGAATACTTTGAATTTCTGTGTTAGCGCGCAGGCAGCCTTCTTTCTCTGTTTCCCATTGGTGTTGTTCCCCTGTTCTCCCAACAGCAGACTGGTATATCACCTTATCTGGGAGCACGCATGCCCTGTACAGGGCTGACTCAAGGGCTACTTCTGCTATTTCCCTTAAAGAAAGCATTTCCCAGTCCTGCAAGTTCTATACCTCCAAGCATCTCAAAGTAGATCGCAAAGTTATCATTAATTTATATTAACTTGAATTAGAAAAATGTTTGTGCCATTCATCACTACAGGAGAGAACAATCAGGTTTGGACAATTCCCGAAGGATGATCACTATGTCAGAGTAGGAAGAAAAATCTCCTCTACCCGCCTAGCCTTACAATGTCTCTCTCTACAGAGAAATACTTAGACCTCCAGTGTTTATATCTGGTGTGCCCTCATTGTAAAAACAAACCCGATAATCTCAAATTGGATCTTACAGTATAGATCAGTTGAAATTCATTATATTCACCCTTGAGAATCGTTGTAAAAGAGATTTCACAAGAGAAATGGGAGGACAGAGTCAGTCAACCCAAGACTGGACCAAAGCTGGTTAAGGTGACTTGAGTGCTGTCCCATGTACCTTTCCAGCCCCCCTGCACTGAAACCCCAGAGACCTTGGCTGTGGCCCAAAATAGGAGGCCCTTGTGTCTGTGACTCATCAGTCAACCCTCCCTAAAGAGTTAGATAAAATTTCTGTTTCTAAATGACCAAGGTTAGCCGTAGGGGATAGTGACTAGAGCGTTTGCCTTCATTGTGCTATCTGCACAATACTAGAATCAAACTGCAAAGCCTGTAAGATTCTAATGGTGAGATTTCAGGCAAACAAGCAGAAATAAAGGTGATGGGTCTGGGATTCTGTAATCCACACTGTGCATGAGGAGCTGCCCTGTTCTTGTGTAATTAAAATATGAGTTAATTTACAAAGCAAAGTTTTAACAAAATATATCGATTACTGAAAGCAGGAGGCATGCGCGCGCACACACACACACACACACACACACACACACACACATTAATTTGAAGGTGTCAGAATTTATAATGGACTACATATGTACAGCTTCTTGGAAGAGGGTTGGTTAATTTGGTTCTTTCTCGTATTGCACCTGTTATTTGTCTCGTTGAGAGAGACGAGTGTCAAAAAGATATCTAAATGGACATTCTGAGCCTTTGAATATTTTTCACTGCATTTCATTATTACAGAGACAGTGGTCGTTTTTTGATATTTTACCAGTGGACTAGATGGGGATTAAACCTATTACCCAGGAGCCTTACTCTGTAAACTCCCAGGAAGTGAGTTTCTTACTACTACACAGATAGGCACTTAACATCAAGACAAATGGACACCATAGAAATCACTTGAGTAAAGGACGTGGCTTTTTGAAGTCACAGAATGAGATTTCAGCTGTTAGATGTTCTCTTTTGCCAGATTTCTTCTGGAATGATATGCAGATGAGGAGATTAGCTAGAATTAGAGGGAAAAAAAAATTCCCACAATATGCATGACCTTATATGAGTCATCAAATGTATAGCT